AGTTTTTGCAATTAGTGAGCTGTTTTCGTTCTCAAGTTGGCCCCACACGGGGGGGACACTGAGAAATTTCAGCTCTAAAATCTCTGTAGCCCGGATCTAAGTAGCCAACAGGCCAGTTCATAAAGAGATACATCCTGGTTTCCTTGTGCAAGCAGGAGAAAGTGCTCCCTCGACTTACCCTTTACCCCTACTTTCCGGCTTATTCGTAGGCACTCAAACGCCAGAAATTCCATATTTCAGCTACACTACTCAACAGACACTAATATAGTGAACCATTAGGTTTATTTTGCATGTTTCGGCCGAGCACCAGCGTACAATAATGGAGAACACATATAGAAAACCTTTGCATTCTCGGTAATCGTTACCAAAGCGCACGACAAAAAGACATACCGAGAGCTTAGCAACCACTAGCAAACATCGTGGTTAGAACGGCGGCCAGAAAAAACCTGCCATAAAAAACCCCGTAGGGAAAAAGAGACAGGAAATTTGGGTAGGAAACAGGCCCAAGTCCACGTAACCTTCCTACTAGGCTATATGCATACTTACAAAAAAGATAAATAAATAAACTTAGCAATAGCTGAGAAGGTGTCGGCCCAGAATGATTGCCCACGTGCAATCACAAGCTTTAATACTCGTATCACTATACCCATAATGCATCTATACTCAAGGGCCCAGGCCCTTGTCCTGTTGCTCTCTTGCCGCAGAAATATTTAATTTCCGTTATGGTAAATTTAAGGTGTCTCGTAACGTGTCCCAACAAAAGAAGGTTTTTTGACTGCGCTGGTCCGGTACTCTTTATTTTCTTATACACATATTTTTTTCTGTATGAAAATATTTCTGCCTTAACGTTTTCGTGTGTTTATGATTAAAAGCCAATGTCACTAATTATCTTAGGGCTTTTAAATTCTTATATTCCTTACTCATGACATGTCATGTTAGCCGCCCTACTATTCATAATTCATTCGTCAGCTTCCACTTTCAAATCTTGGAACCGTCACCAATTTGAGTATACCTCTGTAATCATTCGAGGTTCCTAAGCTTAATCTCACAAATTCTCCCAACCATCAATAAGATTCTTGAACGAGCCGTGCACCTGCAACTTGACACTTTCATATCAGACTCCAAATTACTTACTCCAAATCAGTTTGGTTTCCGTCCCAAGCTTTCAACTGTAACTGCCCATGCCCATTTCACTGACAATATACTTCAGAGTCTTGATAACGGCTGTTTTACGGGAGCAGTTTTCCCAGACCTCTCCAAGGCGTTCGATACCGTAGACCAAATGCTTCTTGTTAAAAAGTTCAAGGCTATTGGTGCTGGTTCTCAAGTCGTGGAGTGGTTTGTCTCATACCTCAATAATCGGTACCAAGTAACATCTGTTGAATGCTACCAGTCCCCTCCTTATGAAGTTCATGTTGGAGTGCTCAAGGTAGCATCCTCGGCCCTCTACTATTCCTTATCTACATTAACGATCTTTCGAACTGCTTAGAACACTATCAAGTAATTATGTAGGCAGACGACTCTGTGATATACTCAAATGGAAAACGCTGCCAAGATATTAAATGCCGACCTTGCCGATTTGTCTCAAATCGAATTTCTTATTGTTTGGTAGCCATCGCAGATTGCAAACCTGCTAAGGTATCAAACTTGAAATAGGTAACAAAGAACTTGAAAATACAGGTTCAATCAAATATATCGGTGTAGTCATCCACAAGAACATGACATAGCACGAGCACGAGCACATCGAATCATTAATCACCAAAATTAAAGAAAGAATCGGTTTACTAAAACGAGTCAAGCATCTATTACCATTAGAAACGCGAATTACATTGTACAGTTCCTTAATAAGTCCACTTTTTCACTATGCCGACATTATTTGGGGAGACAAGAATAACGCCACTATCATGGAAGATTTGCGAACACTACAAAATAAGGCTGCAAAAGTTATCCTTGATTTGCCGCATCACGCCTCATCCACCGACGCACTAAATTCTCTAAACTGGCCAGCACTGCTCCAATGGCGTCTTGTGCACAGATACATTGCCACCTTTAAGTACATTCACGGCCTTGTAGATTATAATTTGAATATATCAACACAGTTGAAATGGTAAATTGGCCACCGTTACGGTTATAAAAGCTGACGTTTCGAGCGTTAGCCCTTGTGGATTATACTTTTAATATTTTAAGAAATTCTGACTTCCACAGATATATTACAAGAAGAAAGAACGATATCCGCCTCCCTCGTGTAAAAACGAACTATGGAAAACAGAGACTTTTATATATGTGCGCAAGAGAATGGAATTTACGTATGATGCACGATCCTCGCAGTAGATAGCGCTATTTGTGCAATAGCGAAAATCAGACCTGAAAAAAAAAATCAGGCCTGTACGGGATTCGAACCACTGACCTCTGCGATACTTGTGCAGCGCTCTACCAATTGAGCTAACAAGCCAACTGGGAGCAGGCTGTTAAGTTGATTCGTAATAAACCAGTGAAAGTGATACAGGCCTGACTTTTTTTTTTTTCCAGGTCTGATTTTCGCTATTGCACAAATAGCGCTATCTACTGCGAGGATCGTGCATCATACGTAAATTCCATTCTCTTGCGCACATATATAAAAGTCTCTGTTTTCCATAGTTCGTTTTTACACGAGGGAGGCGGATATCGTTCTTTCTTCTTGTAATATATCTGTGGAAGTCAGAATTTCTTAAAATATTAAAAGTATAATCCACAAGGGCTAACGCTCGAAACGTCAGCTTTTATAACCGTAACGGTGGCCAATTTACCATTTCAACTGTGTTGATATATTCAAATTATAATCTACAAGGCCGTGAATGTACTTAAAGGTGGCAATGTATCTGTGTACAAGACGCCATTGGAGCAGTGCTGGCCAGTTTAGAGAATTTAGTGCGTCGGTGGATGAGGCGTGATGCGGCAAATCAAGGATAACTTTTGCAGCCTTATTTTGTAGTGTTCGCAAATCTTCCATGATAGTGGCGTTATTCTTGTCTCCCCAAATAATGTCGGCATAGTGAAAAAGTGGACTTATTAAGGAACTGTACAATGTAATTCGCGTTTCTAATGGTAATAGATGCTTGACTCGTTTTAGTAAACCGATTCTTTCTTTAATTTTGGTGATTAATGATTCGATGTGCTCGTGCTCGTGCTATGTCATGTTCTTGTGGATGACTACACCGATATATTTGATTGAACCTGTATTTTCAAGTTCTTTGTTACCTATTTCAAGTTTGATACCTTAGCAGGTTTGCAATCTGCGATGGCTACCAAACAATAAGAAATTCGATTTGAGACAAATCGGCAAGGTCGGCATTTAATATCTTGGCAGCGTTTTCCATTTGAGTATATCACAGAGTCGTCTGCCTACATAATTACTTGATAGTGTTCTAAGCAGTTCGAAAGATCGTTAATGTAGATAAGGAATAGTAGAGGGCCGAGGATGCTACCTT